AAAAAAAAAAAAAGAAAGAAACAGCTGTGAAGTAGTCCAGTTAGTATATAATTCCACAGTTTCTTTATCCATTTGCCTGTTGACCAACACATAAGACCTGATATCCTAGAAGAAGCAGGCACCTCCTGATAGTCATGACCACCTAAGTGAGAGAAGAGAACCCCAGCATCCCTGCAGCTTGACTTCATGATTGGAAAGAGCTTTGTTTTGACAACACTAAGACTGCAGCCACAAGAATGTGGGGAATGTTCTTTTGCTATGAAATGGCAATTAACTCTATAGTCCTCTGATACCAGAGATATCAAGAACTCAGTATCTTTTCCAGAGTTTATCAGGAAAATGATCTGACTTTATTAATACTTTTTTTTTGAGAACTTAAGAGTTTGCTTATAGCCCCAAATTCAAGCTACAACATTTAAAGACACTGTAACTCCCTGTTATTATCATTTTCCAAGTCAACCATTTATGCAATTTGGTAACAAATTTTCTCATTTACTGTGAAAACTGTAGTTTTTTAAAAAGCCTAACAGCCTGAAATGTAGTTTTTTTCACTCTAACTCAATATAACAAGTAAATGAGGGATATCTACGTTTCTCTTTTGTAGTGTTGCTTGTATCTGTCATGTGCATGGAAATTTTCTGAGGAGATAAGTATGCTTTATACTCCTTCAAAATTCTAGATAATGAAATCCTAAATGACTCAATAATGAAAAAAAGATTTAAAAATCAAGTTCCATTGGATGGTAGTGGGTGATCAGTAGAACTTTGGTGAAGGGAGTAGTGTTGTATCATATAGTTGTAGTGTGGAGCAGTGTTCCTAAAACTTATACAGTGTGTAAAACACTATTATTTAGTGCTGTGCTTTAACCCACTGCTCTACCAGGGAGGACCCAACACTATTATTTAAATAATATCAAAACAAAAGTAAAAGTCAAGTGCCAACACTAACTAATGAATAATGCATAATTCAAATGTGCTATATAGGTATACAGTAGTAATTATTGTTACTATTACTCAATAGTAAGAAGGAATAAAGTACTGATATGTTAAAATATAGATAAACCTTCAAAACATGATACATGAAAGAAACCACTCACAAAGACCACACATTGTATGACTACATTTATATGAAATGTCCAGTATAGACAAATATATATACACAGATAGATTAGTGTTTCCCTACAGTGGGATGGGAGGGAATTGGGAAGAAATTAGGACTAACTTTTAATGAGTATTTAGTTTCTTTGGCGGGTAGTAAAATACTCCAAAAACTTATTATGGTAACAGCTACACAACTCTGTGACTATATTAAAAAACACTGAATTGTACCTTTCAAATAGATGAACTGTATGTTGTGTAACTTACACCTCAATGAAGCTGTTAAATTTTAAAAAAGAAAATCAAATTCTAAGACTCTGTCTTCCACTTAGGATTTATAAAGCTGGAGAGGTACATTCACCCAAACAAGAAAAATTGTATAATGTACAAAATCATAATGTTTTGAAATTATCACCGGGAAAACAAGTAGCCAGAAATTTAAAGAAAGACAAGACCCTCCAAAGAGAGATTAGATCTCAAAAGAAGCTCTTCCATGGCCAACATATGAGGAAGAGAGGTCTGTCATACAAGTGAAGAATTTAGTTAACATTCTTAGCAAATATCTAAAGGTTGATTGTAGGCTAGCCCAAAAGGTTACCACCCCAGGAACCACATTATAAGAAGTAACTGTACTTACTTTTCTCAAATATACAGAGCTATATTATAAAGAGTAAACTTTACTGTACGCAAATGATACCTTGGTAAAAACTCAATTAAAAAAAAAAAATCAAGCACCCAGCAATTAGAAACAATCAAAATGCCTACTGATACTGGACACAATTAAATAAATAAGTAATGGTGTATATATATTCACATGACAGATTATTATGCAGCTATTAAAACCATGATAAAAAACTAAGAGGACTACAGTAGTCAGGATGTCAAAAATATTTGTATCCTAATACCTGAAACCTGAGAATATGGTACACTATACAGCCAAAGAGATTTTCAGATAGGTTGATTATCCTATGTTATCCTGGTTCACCCAATATAATTACAAGGGTCCTTATAAGAAGGGGACAAATAGTTAGCTAAGTACTTTTTAACTAGTAAGTTATTTAATTCTCCAGAATCACCCAGTCTTGAGTGTTGGTTCAAACATCAACTTTATCTTTAGGCATGACCATAACACCACAAATCTCATAGGCTGCCATTTGGGTACTGCAGAGTTTACTTGGTGCTGTCACATGGCTGTAGTGTTGGACTGTTGTTGCCTACACTAGCTGGAGACCTCTCCTTATACCCTCCTCCGGACATGGTCTGCAGTTCCTGGAGAATCAGAGCTCTAAGTAGCAGCTTATGGTGCTGGATACACTTTTACTACTGTTTTCATCCAGTCGTGGGGAACTGGAAAATTCCTTTGGCCTATCTTTATTCCTTTCTGTTTCTTACCAGAATCTTGTTTCTTTTTAGCTTACGAGTTTTGAGCTAAATACATTTAATTACCCTCTTTTGTTTTCTGCTGCTGAAATTTCTACTGTTTTTAATTTTTTCACTTTAATTAGGAACTAGTAATAGGAGTTCTGTGATGCTACATCGATGAAACATGAAGGCATTATACTAAGTGAAATAAGCCAGTGACAAAAAGAAAAATATTATATGATTCTACTTGTATGAGGCATCTAAAGTAGTTGAATGATGATTATCAAGAGTTAGGGACAAGAGAGAGTTGTACTTTAGTAGTTATTAGATTTGTAAGATAAAAATTTTGGTTATCTGTTTCAAAGAAATTTGTGAATATACTTAGCAATACTAAACTGTTACTTAAAACGAGTTAAGGTGATTAATATTACACTGTGTGTTTACCACAAGTTTTTACAAAGGAGATTCTATAACACTCCAATACCATTCCCTTTCTTCCCCCAGTTGCTTTGCCCTACTCCCATGAAGGCTTTGGCTCTACCTTGGCAAGAAAAGACACAGGGAAAAGCTAAGCTTGTGCAGTAAAGAAAGCCTCCATTCTATCTCATGGGAAAACATTCACATACTTTTGTTAATTTCACACAGTATAATCTACTTTTCATTCTCTTTCCCATCCACTGGGTGGTTTTATTTTGTTTTAAAACAAGGAGAACTGCCAAGAAGAAAAACCCTAGGGCTTACTTCTGCAGGATGGATCCCTTAATGACCAACTCTTCATCCAAGTCTGCTTCATTAGCCATGAAGAGCAGCCTTTTTCCTGTGCTGTCCACTCCAATGAAGTCACGCTGCTCCACTGAATCATACAAAAGAAGGAAAATCAAACAAAACCATTTTCCCCACTTGCATCACTAAGTCAGGGGACAGGGCACCTGCTCACATTGCTTTTGGAACCAAATGCAGGCCTGAATGTTAAATAACACATACTTACCACACTGCTGAAATCATGGGCAAAGTTGTTTTATATGGTTTTAAAGGATTTTGAAGGAACGTTAAAGTTTTACAACATTATAGATTAAAATACTGCGTCAGTGAAATTTCCTGATTTAACAGATTGCTGTTTTTCTTGGGGGAGGGGTTGCCACATTACTGTTTTCTGTTAAATTTCTTTCCTTCAATCAGAATATAATCTCTTCACAGACAGTCTAAACATCCTTTTATATTCCTACAATATCCAGCACAGTGTTGTACTCTTAAAAACCTGTTACTAATGTCTATATAGCATTAATCTATAGCTTACAAAAGGCATTTTCATATAAAAACAACATAGCATAATGATTAAGGAGAGTGCCTTGAAGCCAGACCACCTGTATATATTATTCTACCAACTAGCTGTATGTCATTGAGCTAGTTACTAAACCTCTCTGTTTCTCAGTTTCATCTGTAAAATAGGATAATAGTGCCTACCTCATAGGCTTGCTATGAGGACTAAGTGAATTAATATTTAATAACTATTATTATAATTCTATAACTGTGCTGTTTCCTAATATATTAAATAACATTTTTAAGTTTAAAAAATTAAATAAATGCTTTCATTTGATCCTCACAATAATTTTTTTTTAAAAAAGCAATGATTTAATGTCTCATTAAAAAAAAAAACTCAAAAGTTGAGCTCTAGGAAAACTGATATCTCTTAAAGATGAATTTGCCTTCTATTGATGACAATGGCTACTATATAATGGAATGTGCTGTTATAGCCTGCAAATGCCTATTTATCTAGAATCAAATGTACTGTCTAATGTATTTCAGGGGCTGGCAAGCATTCATGCTTTCAGAGGTCTCTGATCATTTTATCATATGCAGTGTGTCAAAAGTTTTAAGCTGCTTTTTTCAATAACCAAGATTAGTGGACTCTAGTAAGGAAAGATAATAATGCCAAACTGTGAGTAAGTTTTACAGAGGATTTCAACTGAAGCTGCATTTTGGAGAGAATTTCAAATTGCACAGAGCATCTTTCACATATATCAATTCATACATTATATGGGAACTCAAGAATATAACTAAGTCTGCAAAGTTCTGATTATGAGCCAATATTTTAAAAAGGAACACAAAGATGTTATTTTTGGATATAGTTTAGACTGCTTACCCTATCCAAATCCTTAGGCCCACAAAAACCTTGAATCACTGAATGTCCTGGGAGCAATAATTTCCAACAAGTCAATTTTTCAGCAATGTTGCATTTTACTTGCATTCTTCTCCCTCTCAGGCCTCCCTTCTGTATTTGCTTCTTTGTAGCTGCCATAGTAACTGGGACCTCAGAATATGACAAATTACAGAAATCTGGAATGGTTTCTGCCCTAACAAAATGAATTTCACTATCGAGGAGGAGAGTAACCTTAGAATGTCATCCTAAGAAGAAAGGCTACACAAATTAGGTAAGAAAGCAGTTAAAACTATGAACTTCCATTAAAAAAAATTTGAATAGTACTTGAATGAAGCAGAGAAGATAAGCATGATCCCTGAGTAAGAATGACTCACAAACTCATTAAGCATTCTGTATTTTTGTAAACCTATCCTTTAAAACATGCAGTGTTGTAAAACAACATTACCTCAACAAATAAAAAAGAAAAAGGTAAGAAAAAAAAATTCTGGATATTCAACGATTCATATTTTTTTCTAGGTTTATAACCTCTCTAACTGATCCTTCTGTCATCTTTATATCACTTATTCATTCATTCACTCAACTAAAAGATGAATGTGTGCATCTACCCAGTGATAGGCATTATATTTAGAATTGGGAATGTCAACTTTATGAAGCTACCATGACCCTGATGCCCACACCAGACAGAGATATAACGAGAAAGGAAAATTATAGGCATATTCACATTATATAAATATAAGGATCCTCAGTAAATATTAGCAAATCAAAACTAACAGTGTGTATAGCACACTTAAGGGAATTACATTATTACATCTCCTCTGATAGAGACGTAAACTCTAAGATGCAAAACAGCATAGTTGCTGTAAAAATCAGTATGTCACTTTGTCAAAAAATTATCAATAGAATTATTACATGATCCAGCAATTTTCCTTCTGGATACATACCCAAAAGAATTGAAAACAGGGTTGCTGAAGATATTTATACACCTATATTCACAGCAGCAGTAGTCACAACAGTTAAAATGTGGAAGCAATCCAATTGTTCATCAATGAATGAAGGGATAAACAAAATATAGTATATACATAATTGGAATTTTATTTAACCTTAAAAAGGAAGGATATTCTGCAATATGATACAACATGAATGAACATTATACTAAGTGAAATAAGCCAGTGACAAAAGACAAATGCTGTATTATTCTACTTAAGTATCAGTGAGTTCAGCTGTGGTAGAAGGGCTTTCAGAATGATAATCACCTCCAGGTATTCACAGCTTTTGTATATCTCCCCTTGAATAAGGGCTGGCCTATCCACATGCTCCTAACCAACAGAATGTGGCAAAAAGGATGAGATGTTATTTTCATGATTAGGTTACTTAAGTCCTTGAATTCTGACTTATTAGGAGATTCTCTCCTTGCTAGCTTTGATGAAGTTTGGTGTGTTGGGAGAGGCCCACATGATAAATAAATGAGGGCTGCCTGTGGCCAACAGACAGATATTGGACTGAGGTCAGCCCAATAGACCATGGGGAACTGAAATTCTGCCAACAAATAAGTGGGCTTATAAATAAATTCTTGACCAGCAGTGCTTTTAGATAAGAAGTTGGACTTGGGTGACACCTTGATTCCAACCTTGTGAAAGACTGAATCAGAGGACCCAGCTAAGCTATGCTAAATTCTTGACCCACAGTATTATTTTAGGATGTTAACTTTATGGTAATTTGTTATGTAGTAACAGATAACTAATCCACAGATCAGTAATCTTTAGCTGACATCATCTGAACAGAGATAAGCTACCTCAGTTATATCAGGCCAAACTGGCAATTTATATAGAATAATAAGCAAGTAAATGATTGCTGCTTTAAGTTTCCTATGTTTGGGTGAGATCTGTTATGCATAAAAACTAACTGAAACAATGTGTAAAGGGACAGTAAGTCATGATGAAGATGGGTTTATTATAGATATACAAGGTGGCTGTGTACTTTATTGTATATTCCAGATATACAAAGTGGTTTATTATAATTCATCACAAGACCACAGTAAAAGGGAAAAAACCACATGACTACATAAAATAGATATATAAAAACCACTTGATGAAATTAACATACCTATAGATTCAGTGCAGACACACAAGGATAGCTACTTATGATAAAAGCCCTTAAAAAATTGGGGAAATCTCAACATAATTAAGGCCATATACAACAAAACTACAGTCAACAGCATACTCAATGGTAAAAAACTAAGTTTTTCCATCTAGTATGGAAAGATCTGGTATAAGGATGTCCACTTTCACCTCTACTATTCAACACAGTATTGGAAATCCTAGTTAGAGCAATTATGAAAGAGAAAGTTATAAAAGGATCCCAAATTAGAAGAAGCAAAACTATCACTATATGCATATTAAATACATATTCAACTCTAAAAACCCCATTAAAAAACTAATTGAAATAATAAAATCAATATAGTAAAGTGGCAGAACACAAACTCAATTTACAGAAATCAGTTATGTCTATATGCAAATAATGAGCTAGAAGAGAAAGAAGTCAAGAAAACAATCCCAATTACAGCTGCAACAAAAAGAATTAAATACCTAAGAGTAAACTTAAGAAAGGAGGTGGAAGACCTAGATAATGAAAACTACAAGATAAAATTAAAAGAAAAAAAGACACAAAGAAGTTCCCTACTCATGGATTGCAAGGATTAACACTTAAAATAGCCATTTTATCCAAAGGAATACACAGATTGATGCAATCCTTATTAAGGGGTGAGGGGGAAGTCAGTCTTCGTAAATATCTAAATCTCTTACAAATTTTGTAGAGGGAAGTGTTGAGGAGGAGAAAGATGGCTTCTGATATATCTGTCATTAGCCAGTCTGTAAGTTAGTAGAACACAATTTGGGAAACTTGGACCTAATGCTTCCAAACTAATAAACATTATCTGAGACAGAGTAAACTGCTGGCTATTTGGTACATAACCACAGATTAAATATATAATCTGAGAAACTTAGCATTCTTAAAAAAAAAAAAGCTTATCATTGAAGTGCATACCACTACATGAGAGGATTTTAAAATTCAGTGATTTACATGAGCCTTAGTACTCAACTATAACAAAATATAGCTATTATAAGTTCAAATTTCACATTAAAAATGAACAATTTTTCTAAAACACAAATCTGATTATGACATTCTTTTGTTTAAAATTCCTCAAAAACTCCCCTAAGAATGGGGGATAAAGTTCCAATTCTTCAGCCTGATCCCTGTATCCTCTCCAGTCACAGCAAAGGGACTGCTTCCTTGCCCTCCATGCTCACAGCTAAACAAGTTATTAGAGTACGATATACAATTTCAAAGATGGAAAAGCCAGTTTAAAGGAACTTTTTTACTGGAAGTCATGACTATTTAAGGATTAAGACATTTTTAAAATGTACGGGTAGTTAGATAATAGTTATGGCTGATTTAAAATAAAATTATTAAAGTTATTCCCTTTAGGCAATAAAAATTTATAAAATGTTAAAAATTGTAAGGTCAAGAAAAATTGTAAGGTCAAGAAAATTAACTATAATAGGACATTTGATTTTTAAAATTACTGTTGAGTAGAAGGAAGGGTATGCAAATAAACAAAATATTCATTTTATATAACATGCATATATTTATTATTTTTAACATTTATTTATTTATGCATACAAGAGGGAGGGGTGAGAAGACTCATCAGAGAAGAGTGGGGAACAGAACAGGCAGATCTACTGAAATATACTGCTGAGGGGAGCAGCAGGCTGGACAGTAGAAGTCTGCTGTGTCTTGTGGGTCAGCTCCCTGGCTGGGGATCTGACTTGTGCTGCAGTGGCTGAGCAAAGTTTCATAGTGCTGTGCTTAACATCTTGCACCACCAGAGAGGCCCAAAAAACATACATATATTTATAAAATCTGGATATATAATTGTTTCTGTGTAGTCAGAAAAGGCTGAAAACAAGGAATTATGAGTAAACAAATCAGACCTTGCAATTAGAAACTAGATCAAGAAGAGAAAGACTGATCAACACAAAGATCATATACAATAATGTAGAAAGAGGACCCAACAATTACAGCAAAAGATCACTTAAACATAAAAAGTAACTAGAAAGAAGTTCCAATGCTATAATCCAAAATCATGTTAACCAAATGCCCTAAAGAGAACTAGAAATACAAACAAGATTACTTAAATCCTAGGCATGATAGCTCTAGATGACTATTAACTACTATAAATAATAAAAGCTTCTTCAAGTCAGGTACTATGTCTTATTTAACTTCATATCATTCATCTATAACACAGCGCCTGAAGTATACAGTTGGTTCTCAATACATGTTTCTTAATAAAAACAGTTATTAACAAAAAAAAAAAAAAAACACATAAACCAAACTCCAGTCTGCTTACCTGCTTTTTTTTTCCCCTTTTGACCTGGAATTGGTTCTAAGTTATCTTGGCCTTTTCTCATTAACATGGCAAGTGATGCTTCATGAGCTCTGAACAGGTCTACAACCTCATGTAAGGCAACATCTGTTATTAGATCACAGCTCAGGATCAACACATCTGTCTGTTAAATGAAGAAGGGGGAAGTTACTAACACAAAGGAAAATGGCTCACACGAATTATCATAGGATAAATTTGTAATGGTTTAGAAGCACACATAAACTGGACAATTGTTTTCAGTGTCCTTTATTTTTTATAGCAGCTGAATAAGTAAAACAAATGTGCTGTTTGAACTGAACTGTGCTGGGGGAGGGGGTGGAGTATCTACTGTGCGCCTTACTACTGCCATTCTTGAGACACCTCTGAAATCTTAGCTCTAAGGAAAAGTCTGAAATTACTACATCGACCATTTCTTTTCTTTCTTTCTTTCTTTCTTTCTTTCTTTTAAATACATACAGAAATGAGTTATAAGCCAGAGGTACAGGGGCAGTGAGAGGATTCACCAGTGACAGAGTGAGGAGCAGAACAGGCAGATCGACGAAGTATACCACTGAGAGAAGCAGCAGGCAGGTCAAGAGAGGCCTGCTGCGCCAGGTGGATCACCTCCAGGTACAGGGATTGAACTCGAAGTGGCTGTGGCTAGCTTGCAGTGCTGCATCCTTACCCGTTACATCACCAGGGAGGGCCTACATTGATCATTTCTATGACTACGGATTAATGACCTTAAATGTATATTCATTTATAATTTGAAAAGCATTTCCACATTGTTCGATAATTTAATATGGTAATGTAATTACTTTGCTAGAGAACTAAGAAATAATAGGATGAATATAATGTTTCAATCTTTGGAAACTAGTAGCTGGTAGTCTAGCTAGTAGACAATTACAATACATTGTCAGTTATGTATAAAAACACCATTTAATCCCTGTAACAATACCATGGATATGGGATTCTTACTATAATTATTACTTCCCATTTTTATGGATAAGAAAAATGAAGTCTATCTACCAGAGTATTTGGGACATTCTAGACAATAATTGATAAATGAATAAATCAATAAAGTAAAGCTTTTTTAAAGAAAGATTTTATTTATTCTTGATTAGCAGAACTGGGATATAGGTGGAGATGCAAGGGATGATAGGATTCACCAGAAACAGAGCAGGGAGCAGAACTGGCAGATCTACTAAAATACACTGCTGAGAGAGATAGCAGGCGAGATAGGAGCGGTCTGCTGCACCATATGTGGGCAAGCTCCCTGGCTAGGGGCAGAACTCAGGCCTTCATCACAGTGATAGTGCCTTGATTTAACCCCTAGACCACCAGTGAGACACCCCCCTCCCCAAAAGCTTTTTCTGTAGTGGCTAATTTTCTGATTATAACTCTGATAATTCAGATTAATTGCAGTAATAGCTAATTGTGGCAATTAATGTTTATTAAATGTGTACTGTTGGGTATAACTGCATAGAATCCTATGTAGAAAGCACTATTATTTGTGTTTTACAGATGAAATAGTTTTATAGTAGTTACAGTAGCCATCCAAAATCTAACAACTTATAATGTCTATTCATACAAACAAAAGAGTATGCATTACCTTACAGTATTTAAACAGCCCTAAATTTAGATCTTAGATACTCTAAATGTTGGTCTATCTAGTACTGGATATTAGCTACAGTATCACATTTCAAATGTCACCTTGATAAGCTATAACATATCAATAAGACTGTTAAGATGGTGAAAGAGCTGGACACTATGCCAGCTGAAAGAACAGAAGATGTTTAATAGGGAAAAGACAAGACAGTGGGCAGAACAAGGAGTATGGAGTGCTGTTAAGAAAGAAAGAGATTTTACCCAAACAGTCCAGAATAAAACTAAGAATGAATAAGTGAAACAGAAAGAGAATCTCTGGTTTACATATAACCTTTATGTCAATTAGAACTAGTCAAAAAGTCATTTTTTAAGGTTTCCCATATTAGAAATGCTAGAGAATAAACCAGGTTATTGCTTAATAATATAATTCATCTATCCAACATATTGAGTATTTACTCTGCTTAATCAGGTTTTATTTTTATCTTTAAAAAATTATTTATTTTACATCATTTTTTTTTTTTTGGTAATGCGTTTTCTCAGGTGTAGTCCCCATAGAATTTCCACCACCAATACATCCATGCGCCATCACCATAGTCCCTTCCTACCCTCTGCCCACCCTGTAGACTGTCTCCAATTGATAGTTGTCTGTGTTTGGTTTTTTTGTGTCTTTTAAATAATTTATTTTTTCCTTGATCCTTATATTCCTCCTATAAGTAAATCCATCCAATATTTTTCTTTATCCTTCTGGCTTATTTCACTGAGCATAATCTCTTCTAGTTCCATCCATGTTTCTGCGAATGGCACTAGTTTCTTTTTGAGTGCTTAATAATACTCCACTGTGTATATATACTACATCTTCTTGATCCAGTCACCTACTTTGGGCATTGGGTTTACTCCAAGTCTTAATGCTGCAGTAAAATAGGGGTGCAGATATCCTTTTGTATTACTGTTTTTGTGTCCTTTGGGTAGGTTCCTAGGAGTGGAATTGCTGAGGCATACTGTAGCTCCATTTTTAGTAGTCTGAGGAACCTCTATACAGCTTTCCATAGTGGTTGGACCATTCTGCATTCCCACCAGCAGTGTAGGAGTTCCTTTTTCAGCATATCCTTGCCAACATTTTAATATGTGCCATTCTTACTAGTTTAAGGTGGTATCTCATTGTGGTTTTATTGCATTTCCCTGATTATGAGGGATGTTGAACATTTTTTCATATGCCTGCTATCCATTTGCATTTCCTCTTTGGAGAAGTGTCTTTTAAATTCTTCCGCACATTTTTTGACTGGAGTATTTACTTTGCTTTTGTTGACTAATTTGAGCTCTTTGTGTATCTTTGTTATCAGACACTTATCAGTTATGTGGCGTGTAAAATTTTCTCCTAATCACTTGAGTATCTCTTTGGTTTGGTTTATGTCTTTTTTGTTGCAAAGAAGATTTTTAGTTTGATGTAATCCCAGATGTTTATTTTTTCTTCACTTTCTTTGCTTTGGGAGATGAGTATTTGTTTATTTTTGAAGATTTATTTATTCATGCATACAATAACTGGGATACAGGCCAGAGAAGCAGTGGGGTGAGAAGGTTCACCAGAGACAGAGTGGGGAGCAGAACAGGCAGATTGACTGAAACACACTGCTGAGGGGAGAAGTGGGAGAGACAGGAGAGGTCTGCGTGCCACACAGGTCACCTCCCTAGTCAGGGATCACATTCATGCTGCAGTGGCTGCAAATATCCCTATGTGGGGTTAATGCTGTGCTTTAACCCCCTGTGCCACCAGGGAGACCAGGATGAGTCTTCAAAGATGTTACTGAGATATATGTCTTGTAGAAAATACCTACATTTTCTTCTACATATTTTATGGCTTCAGGTCTTATGTTCAGTTCTTTTATCCATTTTGAGTTGGTTTTTGGGCAGGGTGTGAGGCAGTGGTCTAGTTTCATTCTTTTGCTTACGATGTTCCAGTTTATTGAACAAACTGTCCTTGTTCCATTGCAAATTCTTTGCTCCTCTGTCAAAGATTAGTTGTCCATATATACATATGGCTACATTTCTGGGCTTTCCATTCAGTTCCATTGGACTGTGTGTCTGTTTTTATTCCAGTGCAATGCTGTTTTAATTATCACGGCTTTGTAGTATAGTCTAAAGTCTGGGAGTGTGATACCATCATTCCCCTTTGTATTAGTCAGGAGAATTTTGGCTATTCAAGGATTTTTGTGAAATCCATAAGGATTTCATCAGTATTTATTCTATTTCTCTGAAGAATGTCATTGAGATTTTTATCAAAATAGCATTAAATCTGTAAACTGCTTTTCACAGGATGGAATTAATCTCTAGAAATTAGAGGAAACTCAGACTAGAAAATATTAAATATGAATGGCTAATCAAGCCTATTTTTAAAATTAATTTCTATCTATACACCCTACCATTATATTTTATCATCTAAAATCCAACACTTGTTAAATAAATTCCTTAAATTGTAATTTAAACTGACACTATCGGGCCCTCCCTGGTGGCACAGCAGGTTAAAACACAGCACTAAGAAGCTAAAGACTTCAGCATGAGCTTAATCCCCGGCCCCAGAGGTGATCCACATGGCCTGGCAGATCTCTCCTGGCCCACCGGCTGCTCCCCTCAGCAGTGTAATTCATCAGTTGGCCTGTTCTGCTCCCCACTCTGTCTCTGGTGTATCCTCCCACTGCCCCTGCACCTCTGGCCTGTACCCCAGTTCTGCATGCATAAATAAATAAATCTTAAAAAAAATAATAAACCGGCCCTCCCTGGTGGCGCAGCGGGTTAAAGCACAGCACTGAGAATCTGAAGCCACTTCCGCATGAGTTCGATTCCCGCCTGCCGCCTGCCCCGGAGGAGACCACATGGCGAGCCAGACCTCTCCTGACCCGCCCGCTGCTCCCCTCAGCAGTGTACTTCGTCGATCTGCCTGTTCTGCTCCCCACTCTGTCTCTGGTGAAGCCTCTCACCGCCCCTAAGCCTCTGGCCTGTACCCCAGTTCTGTATGAATAAATAAATAAATCTTTAAAAAAAAAAATAATAATAAACCGACACTATCAATGTTTCACAATAGCACACAGTTTCCCAGAGAAAGACTGTCCCTGCTGCCCTTCCTGAGAATAGGTCTTTTTTATTTTCTAGGTTTTTATGTAAGCCTTGGTTTAGAAAATGGGTTATGTTACTTTAAAGAGTATTAAAAACATAGGCCTAGGTTATTCCAGGTTTAAGAATAAAGTGAATATCTACATGGAAACTTTTATAAGAGATTCCAACTTTTCAAGATTTTAATTTAAAATCAAGATTCCTACTTAGGGTGGGAAAAGAAATTATTTCAACTCACATTCTAATAAAGCAAAGAATCATGTTTGGCTCAGAAAGTCAGACTCAATCATCAGTATCTTGTCTTACTGCTTGAAATTTCTTTTCTGAATATAGAATCTATACCAGAACCATCATTTCTTTTTTTACATAGAACTCATATATAGCTTAAATAATTCCTTTTGAAGGTCTATTAAAGAAGTTTAAATTAGGATT